ACAGGTAACTCAGACAGTTTGTGACTCCCTGGCTAACTCTCTCCACAGTGTGAGTATTTTCAGATCAGACTCACAGTTCTGGGGGTCCTGATGCCAGATCCCGGCGCCCTTTGGGAACCCGGACTGCAGGTGAGGACAGCAGAGCTGCTCTCATCACCATGGGGACACTGATTCATGCCCTGATCTGACTTTGGTTTATTCTCCTGCCAAGGAGGCACCTGGCTCACTGCTGCACATGTCCCAGAAAGGCAGAGCATGAGTTCCACATGACAGGTAAATATGCTACTCAAACACTGTGCTTCAGGACAGCTTTCCCTGCATTTCCAGCACATTCCCTTTCCCAATTTAAAGCCATATAGGCAGGGGAAGATTTCCAGGCACTTCTGTCAGGCCACAACCTGAGCATGGGCTTGGTGTCACAGCTGCTCTGGCTCTGACCAGAGATGGCCCCAGAGTGGCGTCTGGGATGAATATTTTGGGTAGTTATTATCCATAGGTGGCAGCAGCTGCCTGTGCTGGGCAGACGCTGCCCTAATCCCGAACCTGGCAATGAGCAACAGAGCCGGGAAAAGGCAGAGGAGGAGGAGGAGCAGCAGCAGCAAGAGAGGGAGGAGAGGAAAAGGAGGACAAGCCTGAGCACAGGTCCTGCCTGCTCCCTCCTCTGCAGCAAGAGGTCCCCAACAGAGGGAGAATTAGGGAAATGTCTCCATGGGGCAGGATCGGGCTGTGTAGCGCTGTAGAGAGCTCAAATCTGTGTTACTGAACAGCCTGCCCAGAGAAGCTGTGGCTGCCCCATCCCTGGAAGTGTTCAAGGTCGAGTTGGACAGGGCTTGGAGACCTCTGGATTAGTGGAAGGTGTCCCTGCCCATGGCAGGGAGCTGGAATGAGATGAGCTGCAAGGTCCCTTCCAACCCAAACCAGGCTGTGCTTCTGCTGCTGTGCCAGGACTAAGTGCTGCCTTCTTACCCAGGGAGAAAATTGCTGCATGCCCTGGTGGGGAAGGGCAACCTTTTCTTGACCAAATTCCTGAAGCCACTGGGATGTCACATCCCTAGAAGGATTGTGATAGCAGCATCCCCAAACACCCAGTGATGCTGGACCATGAGTACTGATGGAGTCTAAAGCCAGCAGCTCCTTCAGCTCTGCAGCTTTTGCTTGATTCCAGAAATTTCTGCCAAGTTCAAAATTACACAAAAGGCTCTTCCTCAAATCCTGGCACAAATGGCAGATAACAAAAGCCCAGTTGCCAGAAGCTAAAAGCAAGATTAAAAAGAAATAAAAGAAAGCACAGAAACTTTGCTAAAAAGCAAACTGGAGAGCCTTGCAGTCCTAGGCTCTAGCCTAGAGGCTCTAATGAGAGGAAAACCAAAGAGAAAAATCTATCCAAATCTTGTCATCTGCTCACTTTAAAAGTAACATTTCTTGATCAATATAAATGAAATGTATGTTCCTCTTTTCAACACACCTGATATGAACGGGCTTTGTCCTGGGAAACCAGACTGGCTGCTCAGTGTCCCCTGGCTGCTCTGTCCTACCCATGCTGCTCCTGCTGCATCATTAAGGCAAAATGGAATGGATTTTGAGAGGAAAAGCAGAACAAGGCACGATTTGCTCGAGACTAATCCCCCTGAAGTAGCAAAGCCCCAGTTCACCCCTCATGGCTGTGGGGGCAGCATCACACCCCCAGTGTTATCTGCTTAATGAGGTGATCCTTTAAAAGCAGCCCCAAATGTGGGTGTAAGTGGTGTAATTGCACAAAGGGACTGGGGCAGGTTTGTTCATTTCTCCTCTATCGTTAATTAAGGCAATTAGCCTGCTCAGCCATCCTGTACCTGCTGAGGAGAATATAATCCATTGTAGAATACAATCTTTCTATCAATGCACTCTAATTGCTCTGTACATTATTAGGGGGGTGGAGGATGCAGGAATACATCTCTAGAGAGCTGAGGAGGAATGTGAGAGATGACACAGGCTACACTAAAACAAAAGTGACTTTTCATGTCTGAAGCACTGATTTTTTACCCTTTGTCATTCCCTTCCAGGCCAGGAAGATCTCCCAAGCCTGTGCCCTGAAACTCTCCATGCTGTGTAGGCAGGCAGGGCTGGGAGCAAATGGGTTGGGAGTGTCAGGGCCCTGAAATCCAACCAGTGATCCAAGCCAGTCACACAGCACGAAAACAAAGCCTTATGCTGGGCATGAAAACAACCACGTGTCTGTTTAAACTGCCTGCTGGAATTTGTGTATTCAAAGTCCATCTCAACCTTTAGCCAAATCCTTCCCTGGAAAGCGCTGTGTCAGTATTATCAGTGGGGAAACTGAGGCACAGCCAGATGAACTCGGTCCCCAGCTTGACCGTGCAGGTGCTTGTGTTGGCCCTTTAACCTCTGGGGTTAATTTTGGAAATAATCTACTTATTTAGAGACTTGTGGTGCCAAGGCTTTCCCTGAGAGCTGTCCTGGCTGTTTGCCTTGGAGGGTGCATGCAGTGCTCACGGCAGTGGTCAGTGTGGCCTTCCTCTTGGGTCAGATGGGGACATGGCTCACATGGAGAGTCCCCATGCTGGGGTGGTCATACCCCACTGAGAAACACACCCCCGAGGGCAGCTCAACCTTTTTACTGCCCCACGAGCTGTGCAGGGAGGTCAAAACCTGGAGAAACCCAGGGCAGCCTCCCCTGGCACTGGTTCCTCATCCTGATGATTAAATAATAACTCCAGGTTAATAAGGAAAAAACAGACTGGGGAGGAATGAAGCTCGTTGCATGGGGAGTTTGTGACAGAACCACCCCGGGTTGGGATGTGGGCTCCCTTCTGCCTTCAATCCCTGAAATGGTTAAAGCATCACCCCCCAAAAATGTTCCTTTCCACAGCTGCACCCGAACTGCAAGGTTTAACTGCAGCCCTCAGCGTGCTGGGCTGCAAAGCTCTGCTCTGCAGCATTACTGAATTTTAGGGGAGAGAAAATGAGCAACATTTTAGGCATACCAAGTACCAAACTGCCTTTGTGGAGATACCTTAAGGCTCTGGCTTCTCTTCAAGTGTTTTGTTCTCAACCCCATTTCCATTCCAAACAGAAAGAAATTTTCTGTGAAGTTTCTGTTGCTCTTCAACAGAGCTGCTTCCTCATACACACATCCATTGCCTTGGCTCCCCCAGCCTCACATCCCACAAAACCAGTGGTTTATGGAGCAGCACTTTTAAAGGATGCTACCCTGGTACCCAAACACGGAGCTGCTCTGTGCTGCGGGTTGTGCTTTGGCCTTGCTGCAAGCTTTCCCTCCAAAATAAAGGGTTCTTTTCCAAAACTGATAAAACCCAGCCAGCTCAGAATCCCTCAAATCCGTATTTTTCTAACACATATAAATAATATATGTTCCTTTTCCGGGTTAAGTAAAGGATAAGTCCGGAAATGTGATCCAACTTGGTTTTAAATTGACACGTTATTAAACAATAGGTTCTGTCCTTACTTACTATCAGCTACCTAACTGGCTTGTGGCTGCCCTACGTCCCTAGCTGTCATCTAATTTATTAAAAATAAAAGATAGTAAAAAAAGAACTATATATACATATATATAAATATATATAGTTATATATATACATTATATAACTATACAAAAATAACATAACAAAAACCCACAGAAACAATTAAAAAAAAAAAAGAAGGAAACAAAACTCACCTACCCTGGGCTACATAACTTTCTGGCCCTACTGGCAAACATATGTACAATGTCCACAGGATATATTTATTTACTTTTCATGTTTACCCTCATTTTAAATGCAGCATTGCTTGAAAGGAGAAAGAAACTTCTCCACCTTGGAACTGGAGCTGAACCACTGTTGCTACAGGACACGTGAAAGCACGATGTGAGCTGCTGCTATTGCAAAGGTGAAAAAGAGGAAGTTTATTTTCTGACTCCAGCATTTATACTTTTCTAAAGGTGACAGTGGATTGGAGGGTGAATGTGCCACCTCTCCAATGACATTGGACAAATTATTAGTACATCAAATTTCTCCGCCTCTATGGAGGAATGCAAAACAATAGATTATTTACAAAAAGTTGTGTGAGAAAGTTCTCTACAAGAACGCAAACTCAAAAAGCTTTAAAAAATCTTAAGAATCAGGGCAACAAACCACCTCAGAGGAGAAGGGCGGGTGGGATTTTTGGGAGGAATCCCGTCGCTCGGGGTGTTGTCGAGTGTCCTAGGTTATGGCAAATTTGGGAAAAACCCTCTGGAAGGAGCCCCCAGAAAACAAACCCCCACGGCCCCTCCCCACCCACCTGGTTCGGGAAAAATTTCCTCTGAGAGAAGTGGAAAATAACCTGTTTATTTAACAAACATTCCCCAGCACCAAAAAAACATTAACAACACCAGATGACAACAAAACTCTTTGACCACTCTGAAGAGATTAACAAATCCAGCAAGTCTCTCCTGGGAGTGGTCACTGGGGATGGCTGCTGCAGATCACAGAGCGCAGCTCTTGGGGTTCCTTGGTGTTTCCCTGGTCCCATCCAGAGCAGGCTGGATGGTATTCAGGAAAAGGAAAGGTAAAGAAACAGTCCAGGGAAAGAATTGGACTGCTTAGCTAAACTAACTAGGAAGCAAAGGCAAAAGCAGAAGGAAGCAAAGCAAGCGAGCAAAGTAAAAGCCAGCCAGCCAGCACAAGGCAAAACAAACCTTCACATTCAGAGTCAGCTCTGAAAGCACAGAACATAATATCAAACATAACCAGAACCCACACTGGAGACACAAACACCATAACACCACCCTCGGACACCGGGGCGTTCCAGCGAGCTCTCGGGGGGTGTCCCCTCTGCCGGGCAGCGACAATCGCCACCGATGGCAGGGGCGTTTTGGGGGGCAGCCCCGCTGCCCGGGGCGTGTCCGGGCCGGATAAAGCCGCGCTGCGCTGGGGGCGGCTCGGCAGCGCCGCGGCTCGGGCCGTGCCGTGCCGTGCCGAGCCGGACCCTGCCCGCACACGGCCCGGGTGCACTGCCAGGGGGGCAGGGGGCGGCCCCGAGCCTTCGCTTTGCGCTGGGTCGCTGTCGGGGGGAACTTCGCCGTGCCTCAGTTTCCCCGCTGAGGAAAGGTTGGTTCTCCGCGCGGGGTCCGCCAGCTGTTGGCAGATGTTGGCAGCGGGTTTTTGACCCCCTGAGCGGCTTTCTCGGAGAATAAGGGGTCAGGCTGTGGGAAGAGTCAGCTGCTGGCAGGAAGGTGTTTTGCACCGGTTTTTTGGTGTTTTTTTGGTTGGTTTTTTTTTTTGACCCCCTGAGCGGATTTTAGAGCTTTCTCTGAGAATAAGGGGTCAGGCTGTAGGAAGAGTCAGCTGCTGGCAGGAAGGTGTTTTGTACAGTTTTTTTGGATTTTGGGGGGTTTTTTTGACCCCCTGAGCGGATTTTAGAGCTTTCTCGGAGAATAAGGGGTCAGGCTGTGGGAAGAGCCAGCTGCTGGCAGGAAGGTGTTTTGTACCGGTTTTTTGGTGGTTTTTTTGGTTTTTTGGGTTTTTTTGACCCCCTGAGCGGTTTTTAGAGCTTTCTCGGAGAATAAGGGGTCAGGCTGTGGGAAGAGTCAGCTGCTGGCAGGAAGGTGTTTTGTACCGGGAGGAGGGAAAGAATTTCTCCAGTTCAGAGCTGGAGCAGAACCGCATCAAAGGTGAAGGGCGGGCAGGTTTGTCCCGGCTGTGGGTGATGGGGAGGCTGCTGAGGACAGGCTGGGGCTGGAACTTCTCGCAGGAGCCCCAGCTCAACATTTCTTTGCTTCTTATGCAACATCCGCCTGGGATTTTGTAACTCCAGATGTTGATCCAAGGAGGGGAGCTGGATTCCTTCAAGAAAAACACCCGGTGAGGGGGGGTTGGGAAGGGGCTGTGCTCTGCACGGGCAGTTGTGTATGACAGAATTATTTTGGTTTTGCACATTGCTCTGTGGATTTAATCCATGTGCAGTGAGCACCAGCCACTGTTCCCAGTGCAGGGTTGCATGTCCAGTAGTCACACTGGTTGCATTTACACCCCTGCAGCTTTTGGGGGTGCAGGGGTGGCTCAGGATGGGTGCTGACAGCTGCCTCTGTGCTCCCAGGTTTAGATCTGCACAAGAACCAAGATCAGGAACCATGGCATCCATTCCATCCAGCGGCTCGCTCATGGCCATGCACAACTATCACAGAAGTAAGGGCAGGCTGGGGGCCGGGGGCTTGGGGTGTGGGTGAGCACATAGGGGTCTCTGCCAGGTGTGGGGGGATGTGGCTCCAGCAGTGATGGAGCTGAGCTCAGGTCTGTGCTTACAGCTGCAGCTCCCTGTGAGTGTTTGGTGAGAAAAGGGGACAGCCAGCAGTGTCCCAGCTGCTGCCCAGACCCTCCCTGGGGCCCCCCAGCCCATCTGTACCAGCTGGTGAGGGGCTCAAATCTCCTTCACTTGTTGCTAAGGTTGTAGGGGATGGGGTGGACAGTTTCACCTTGCACTGTTACTTCAGAAATGAGCACCAAAACCCATCTGGGCAAAGGTTGCTCCTGGTACCTTACCCAGGAGAGAATTTCTGGTTTAATGGATTGCTCAAACCAGAGGGAATCAAGGGATTCCCCCAAGATGAAACAAGCAGCAGGCTTGTAGCTGTTATATATATAAAAGCTTTATATATATAATAGCTTTTATATATAAAAGCCCATGGATTGTACACAGGAATTTGCATCCTCTTGGCCTCAAGTGATCTGCAAAAGCCTCTCAAGCCACTAAATTTTGTCCTTGGGGTTGCAGTTTTTTTCCTACAGAAGTGTTCAGGTGTTGTTCTGCTCCCTGCAGTTGGAATCTCCCCAGCATTCCCTTCCTAGAGGTTTTTACTGGCCTGGCACTAAACTGGGCAAGCAGTGGCATGAGTCAGTGATGAGGCTGAGCCCTATCACCCAGGCCCAGCCTCACCAAGGCTGTGTTTTCCTCCTCGTGGCACGGCCACGGGTCAGCAGTGCATCTGATGGCCACGATTTTTTCCCCAGGGCGCCTGAGCTCCACGTCCAGCACCAGCTCCTGCAGCTCAGAGTTCTCTGGGGAGGTCATCCCCCATGGCCCAGGTAAGTGTCACCTGTCCTGGCTCATGGGGACTCTGCTCTCAGTCCCTCCTGCTGGAGGTGACCCAGCCTCTCCTGGGGGGTGAGGTTGGGGTGGCCCAGCTTGTGCTGACCTGGGCTCTCCCTGCCGTGCACCGTTGCTCAGATCTGCCCAAATCTGACCCCGGCCAGTGGTGGGCCAGCTTCTTCTTTGGGAAGACAACTCACCCAGCCATGACCACGGTGTCAGAGCCCCGGGAGAGGTGAGTGCTTTGAGATGACACGGGGCAGCACCAATGCAGCACCCAGGGCACGTGGGGCCATCCCTGCTGCATCCCCAGGGTGCATCCTGACCCAACGGGCCAATGGACCCAATGGGCCACGTCCATGCCGTTGCCACAGGAGTAAACACAGAGCAGTGGTGCCACGTCTGGGGGTTGGCAGGACGCTGACCCTGTGTTTGCTGTGTGTTTCAGCCCGGCAGCCCTGCGGGTGGCGGGGGCAGCGGCGGCCTGCGGGCTGGTGGCAGCGCAGGGACGGCGGCGCAGCGAGCCCGGCACGGGGGCGATGTGAGCGGGTCCTGCCTCCCACCCCTCCCTGGAGAACAGCCGGCTGCTCCCGGATAAAAAGGTGCTGCTTGCTGATGGAAAAGCACAGCAGCCCCGGTGATTCCACTCCTGCCTTTTTTACTCCCTCTCGGTGTAACTAAGCCCTCTCAAAGCAGATGTGGTAACAAGTTTTTATTACCCTGAACTCGTACAGTGGCAATGAATAAACTTGAGCAGCCTTTTAAAGCCCTGTGGGGTGTTTTGTCTGTGGAGGGGGAGAGCAGAGCGGTGCTGGGGGTGTTGGTGGGGCTGGAGCAGGACACAGCACAGCTCCTGATGGCAGCAGCAGGATGTGGTGCCAACCCCACTCAGTGGGCTGTGTGTGCTTGGCACATGAGCAGGATCCGGCTGGGCTGTGCTGGTGTTGCAAACACCTTCCCTCACCCTCTCCTCTCCTTACTTGGCCAGACAGCCCGTCCCTGCTGGCACTGAACTTGTTTTGTTCCCTGAACACATGGCTGCTCTGCACTGCTTTGGTAGCTCGAGGGGTAGGAGTGAGTGCCAGGGCCTGAGCAGGTGTGGCTGGGGCTGGGGGAAGGATTTGGGTGCACAGTGGCCCCTGCATAATGAGGAGAGAGATAAAACTTGCTCAAGACATGCATTTAATGGACCTGGCTATCAGGCTGAAGCTCATGGTGTGGATGGCAGCTCAGAGGCTGCTCTGGGTTTGCAGCCCTGGATCCCATCTGGCTCAAGTGCTGTTTTGCCTAATTTTTGCCTTCAATTATTCAGTTTGACTGTTTGATCCTTGTGTGACCAGCCCAATAGCTGGGAAAACAAGAGCCTGGGCGAAGGAAGCACCTTTGTTCCTGCTGGAGGCAAAACAAAAACCCTTGCAGAAGTTCATTTAAAAGTGCCAAATCTTCCTGCTCTGCTTCCAGCCACAGCACAAGGCGTGGGGCTGTCCCTGTGTGCACCAAGTGCTGCACCCCGATGGCAGCTGAGGCCACGGGACCCCTGAGCTGTGACTTTGGTGTCCCGTGCTGGCAGGGCAAAGGGCAGGGAGCAGCTGGGGACAAGTGGCTGCTCTGCTTTGTGGCTGCTCTGCAGGGGCATCCAGGGCCACTTCCAGTTCTGTTGTTTTTACAGGGGAAAGTGTTGAGTAAGCTTTTCTCTGAGCTCTGCTTCCCCAGGCACTGGTCCTTGTCTGTGGGGCAGTGTCTGTGTCCCCTGTCCCTCCAGGGCAGCACTGGCACCTCTGCTCCTGCTGTGTGCGTCCAGAGGGGATGGCTTCAGGGCTGTTCCAGCAGTCTGGGCACTGCCAGCACCCTGAAGGTGACCCCCATGTCCATGGCAGCAACTGATCTCATGTGACTTCCAGACAGGCAGCAAGCTGTTGTTGTGGGGCTGCACATGGCAGCCTTTAAATTTCATGACACACAGAAAAATCAAGATAAAATAATCCCTTTCTGAGTAAGACAAGGCAAGGTGGGCTGGCTGGCTGGCTGGGACATGTTGTGGCACTGCTCCAGGCTCTTCCCAGGGCCCAGCAAAGCCCTTTGGGTGCTGCCCAACCCCAGGATGCCTCAGGGATCTCCTCTGCTGCAGGTTGCCAGCAAAAGCCTCATATTTTGGAGAGGTAAATATTTTTTTCCAAGCCTGGAAATCAGTGTGGGCACACAAAGGTAAAGTCAATATTATTGTGTTTGCTTGTTGGTCTTGTGATCATGGAGGGGCAAACCCAGCAGCTGCCCTCAGGCACCCAGGGGAGGCAGTGACAGAGCAAAGGCACCAATCCTACATCCCTGGCTTTCATCTGGCCACGTTCCCCAGCCTGACCCAGTTCTAAGCGAGCTGCTCTGTGATGCCAGGAGAACAAGGATGCTCCCTCACCCAGGTTTTGGATGTTGGATGGAGGTTAAGTTCATTCCCACACTGCTCCAAGGTGGGTTGGATTTTCAGCAGGGGCTGCAAAACCTGTCAGTGGCTGCCCACATGGTTCCCTGTGCAGTGAAGCAAAACTGCCTGGAAAAACCCTGCTGAGTTAAAGGCTGTTTTTAATGTCTGTGAAGTGTCACACACTCAGACTCCTTTTCTGCTATGAGTGAAGATGTAGAGAGAATTCAGATCCTCCCAAATGTGCTTCTGGGCAGCTTCGTGGCATTTCTGAAGGCAAAGCCCTTGGCATTGCTGGTTTTGCTTGGGGTTGAAAGGCTTTTTGGGCCTTTCTTGCCCCTTCACAGCCTGCAGACATTTTGGGAAAACATCTGACAGCCAAGCACGTTTATTTTTGTTCTGTTTCCATCTCCACTGCTGTGGGTGTCTCTCTTCTCAAGTAACAAGAAAACTCTGATTTCACAATTCTATGCAACAGCCTCAGATTGTGGCAGGAGGGGTTTAGGTTGGATATCAGGACAAATATCCACACTGAAAGAGTTCCCAAGCATGGGAGTCCCCATCCCTGGGGGGTTTAGGAGCCCTGTGGATGTGGCACTTGGGGACATGGGTTGGTGGTGGGTCCAGCAATGCTGTGGGAATGGTTGGACTCAATGATCCTAGAGGGCTTTTCCAACCTAAGTGATTCTGTGATTCCAGCTGATTTCCCGTGTCCTCATGTTGCTGCTGTGGTGGGATAGAAAGGGAAACATTGTGCAGTAGAAGCAAGATAATGAAAGTGGTTCCCCATATACTGCACACTTCCCTTCTTCCTTTATGGAGGAGCAAGCACCCACCTCCCATGGCATCAGCTCCACAGGGACTGATGTCTTCCCTCTGCTCCCTTGATGGTGTTTTTACTGTCGATTAATCCACATATTTGCTAAAAACTCGCTGGTGTTTGCTGCTCACTCGTCCTTTGCAGCAGCCCTCGTGCCACCCTGCTGCCTCCAGTATTTCTTTACATTCCCTGCCTCTTGCTGCTGGGGGTTGTTTTGGTTTGGTTTATTTTCCTCCAGCAGCTTTGCTTCCCCCTCACCCTTCAAACGCTGATGTGGGACCTTAAAAATAGAAATGAGCTGTGCAGCTGAAATACATCACTTTAGCCTGAAGCTGCTTCCAAATGCCACTGGGTCAAGGAAGGCTCCGATCCTTGAGTCCTCCAGTGGGCACATGCCAGGCTGCAAGAGGAGCAGGAGGTACCTGTGACAGCAGGATTTGCAGTGCATCTCACTGCAGGATTTGCAGTGCCTCTCACAGCAGGATTTGCAGTGTCTCTCACAGAAGGATGTGCAGTGCCTCTCACAGCAGGATTTGCAGTGTCTCTCACAGCAGGATTTGCAGTGTCTCTCACAGCAGGATTTGCAGTGTTTCTCACAGAAGGATGTGCAGTGCCTCTCACAGCAGGATTTGCAGTGTCTCTCACAGCAGGATTTGCAGTGTCTCTCACAGCAGGATTTGCAGTGTTTCTCACAGCAGGATTTGCAGTGCTCTCACAGCAGGATTTGCAGTGCCTCTCACAGCAGGATTTGCAGTCCCTCTCACAGCAGGATTTGCAGTGCCTCTCACAGCAGGATTTGCAGTGTCTCTCACAGCAGGATGTGCAGTACCTCTCACAGCAGGATGTGCAGTACCTCTCACAGCAGGATTTGCAGTGTCTCTCAAGGCAGGATTTGCAGTCCCTCTCACAGCAGGATTTGCAGTGTCTCTCACAGCAGGATTTGCAGTGCCTCTCACAGCAGGATTTGCAGTCCCTCTCACAGCAGGATTTGCAGTCCCTCTCACAGCAGGATTTGCAGTGCCCACTCCAGAGCAGTTCTGGAGGGACTGAGACCCCAGCATTCCTGCCTTTGTGTTGTGGAGTGGATTTAAAGAAAAACCTGGTCCAGATTTGCGGGCAAGGCTGCAGTGCCCAGCTCAGGCTGAGATCCTGGGAGCAGACAGGAAAATTTGGGTTCCACTCCCCACCACCCCCCTGCTCCCCCCCAAGTTTCTCTACCTTTAGCAAACACATAATAACTCTTGAGAAATGCCAAAACCCAGCAGACCATGCTGGAGGGCAAACCCAGGCTGTGGATTGGCTTTTCATGCAGCAGAGGAAGAGGAGGAGGAAGGAAAACTGCTGTGGGCAGCACCGTGTGGCCACATCCCCACATTCCCCCCCCACATCCCCAAGAGGTGACGGTGACTGCTGAGTGAGCTGCTTTTGGGCTGTGTGTCTGTCAGGATGGTGCCCTGCCACCCCCCTGGCATCTCCAGGTACCCCAGCACGCATGGCTGTGCCCCACACCAGCCCCATCACCCCACGCACACCCTTCTCCTCCTGCTTATTTCTGAGCTCCATCTGGTGGCAGCCAGACCTGCACATTTACTGTTTTTATCGCTGTGTGAGCAGCCTGGTCTAGTGAGCAGTGTCCCTGCCTGTGGTAGGGGGCTGGAACAAGGTGATCTTGGAGGTCCCTTCCAACTCAAACCATTCTGTGACTCTGAGGTGCAGCAGCCTCCCCTGCCCTGTGTCCCTGCCCTCCCTTAGTGTGCCACAACCCTTCACCTGCAGGATGTGCCTTCAGTCTTTACTGTCCTGCAGGAGGGGACCTGGGCTGTACATAGCTGTGCTCTCTGCTCAGGTGTTTGACCAGGCTGCAAAATGTTTGTGCAAGGAGAGGATTTCCTCTTTCCATGTCCCAACCCAACCTGTTGCTTCTTCTATCTGGGAACACTCTAACCAGGAGCTGCTGCCTTCCCAGGACAGGGCTGCACTCAGTGGACAGGAGCAGAGCCGGCTTCATCCCACCCCTACCCACATTCCTGCCTCCCCTTTCCAGGCCCCTCGTGCTTGGAGCCTTGCCCAGCCAACAGCCAGGCTTGTTTCTGCTGCTCTGCACAGCATGGACACTGCCCAGGCGTGGGGAATGTTACATAAACTTTATTAACTTTATAAATTCCAACGTTGCTGTTGGCTCAGTCCCACTGGTCACCTGCAAAGGGGCAGAATGGGCTTGTCAGGAGGAATTCTAAACCTCTGCCTGTTGCCTTTCACCCACAGCCTCTCTGCTCCTGTCCCCAGTGCCACGATTGTGTTAGGGCTCTAACAGGAGCCTTGCCATTGCTCCAATTCCTGCTTTTCCATGTGTTCTTCTACTGCTGCCAAGGACAGTCCGACCTCTGGGAGCGTTCATGGGCAGGGGGCAGCAGGGACTTGGCTGGAGCAAACCCTGCCACGGCTAGGGAGGGACCAGAGGCTCAAGGTCCCCCTGCAGTGCCATATCCTGGGATAAGGGAGGAGCTGGGGGCAGTGGGAGTATCTCTTG